GGTAGCCCAGGCTGGCCTCGAACTCACAGAGATCCGCCTGCCTCTGCCTCCCAAGTGCTGGGATTAAAGGCGTGCGCCACCACCGCCCGGCCTTTTTTTTTTTTTTTTTTTTAAAGATAGCATTTCTGTATGTAGCCCTGATTGTCCTGGAATTCACTCAGGCTGGCCCCAAACTCACGGAGCTCCACCTGCCTCTGCTGGGATTAAGGGCATGTGCCACCATCACCCGGCTAATGGGGGCTAATTTGTAGAACTATTCAGCCAGGGCAGATTTAGAACGATCTACTCTGCTGTGCCTAGGTACAGATTGCAGGGAGATTTTCACTTCCATGCTATGGCTTCCTCTGTGGATATCAACAGTTCAGCTTTCTGGTAGGGGAGGCTGATGAGTGTTCCTATGTGGATGGACTCCTCAGAAAAGCCTGAGCCGGTGGGTATCACTTGGCAGATAGTGGAGGGCTCAGTGGTTAGCGTGGTTCTCCAGCCAAAGTGGCCTGTGGCAGACACTAGAGAAGCCACTGGAGGTAAGCCGGAAGTGGGAGGGGGTGGCCTGGATCCCAGAAGTTCCAGATGCTCATGGAGGGGGTTTAGCGACCTCTGAGCACTGATCGCCCCACCTTGAAGTCCTGCAGCGCTGATTCTTTCCTCCCACATCCCTTGACCTCTGCCAAGGTCGCTGCTCTCTCCGGCTTCCCTTCTATCTCCCTGCCCGGTGCCCCGCGCACTTCCCCAGGGGCACACAGCTCCGGTCTTCTCAAGTCTTGTCGGACCTCTAGTTAAGGCGTACATTTATCTCCAGCTTTCTCCGGGACCTTCCCTTTTGATTTTCAAGAACATTTTCTTCTCTCTGGCAAAGCAGTCCTTCTGAATCAAAGGCTTCGCCTTTCTAAAGCCCATTTCTGATGTGGGCTTCAGTTGCGCTGGCTGGGAAGTTACAGAACAATGACATGGGAATGCTGGCTGTTTCTCTCTCTTTATCTTCCTGCTGTAAAAGCTCTAATTCTCCTTGAGATAAACTGGAGCCTCTGATTGACGTGAGGAAGCGGGGAAAATGAAAGCCAAATTATTATTATTTCAAGTTGTGTTCTCGCAGCGTTCTCGCAGCGTTCCCGCACGTCTGTGGTGGGTTTGTGATCCCAGAGTTTGTCGTCTTTTTACTTTATACACACACGCCTCTGTCATTTGCAAGTTAACTGTTTTCATGTAGTCAAGTCCAGATGTGTTTCTTATTTTTCTTCTAATGCTTTTTCTGGGGTTTTGTTTTTTACATTTGGTTCTTTCTATCAAAGGGACTTTGTGTAGGTGTCGAGCGTGAGATGGAGTTCAGATTTTGTGCTTTTTGAATTGTAGGGCCATTGGTTCTAATGTTTATTAAAATCTTCACCAAGAGATTGAAATCTTTCACTTAGAGTACATAGATGGATAGACAGAGTTCGTTGTGTTTTATAAACTATTTTTATTTATGGCTCGACCAGTCCCTCATTTTCCCGTGTGCGTGTGTGTGTGTGTGTGTGTGTGTGTGTGTGTGTGTGTGTGTGTGTGTGTGTGTGTGTGTGTGTGTGTGTGTGTGCAGACCAGAGGAGGTCAATGTCCTCTATAGCTCTCAGCCTTATTTCTTTATTTCCTTGACAGGTCTCTCAAAGTTTGTTGAGACAGTCTCTCCCTGAGGCTAAAGCTCACCTTTTTTATTTCCAGCTACTCCCAGCTATCCTCCTGTCTCTGACACTCCCAGCAGGCACACGTGGCCACTCCCATGTCTTTGTGTGTGTGTTTGAGATCCAGACTCACATCTTCATGCTTTTAGAGCAAGCACTCTTACCCACTACTGATCCATCTCTCCATCCCCAACTCATTTTAATAATAATAAAAAAAGTTTGTTTTGTTTGAGACAGGGTTTCTTTACTTAGCCCTGGATTACCTGGAACTCACTATGTGGACCAAGCTGCCTTGGAACTCACAGAAATCCTCCTGTTTCTGACTCCTGAGTGCTTCACTCATTCTTTTCCTTTGTTGGGCACGGTGGCACGTGCCTGCAATCCTACCACTCTGGAAGCTGGAGGAAGAGGAGTGTTGAAAAATTTGAGTCAGGCTTATATACTGCGCTACATAGTGAGTTTGAGGCCAGTCTGGATGACGTAGCAAAACCCTGTGTTAAAACACAAAATAGGACCAGGGCGACAGATCAGTGGGTAAGAGATGTGATGAGAACCTGAGTTCAAATCCTCAGGACCCACGCCACCTCGTTATTTCCTGTTGCTGCGATAAACACCGTGACCAAAAGCAACTTGGGAGGAACGAGTTTATTTGACTTGTGTGTCCTCTTCACAGTCCATCACTGACGGAAGCAGAGACAGGAACTCGAGGCAGGAACCTGGAGGCAGGAACTGATGTAGAGGCCACGGAGGAGGGCTGCTTACTGGCCTGCTCAGCCTGCTTTCTTACAGAACTCAGGTCTACCCGCCCAGGGGTGGTGTGCCCACAGTGGGCTGGGCCCTCCCCCATCAATCAGTAATCAAGGAAATGCTCCACAGACATGCCTGCAGGAGGAGCTGATGGAGGAACGTCTTCAATTTCTGTTCCCTGGTGACCCTGGTTTGTGTCAAGTTGATTAAATGAACCAGCACACCATCTGTTGTGTGTAACACACTTGTACAACAAGATGGAGATGGGAGGGGAGTCCTTGGACGTTCAAGGGCAGCTGGCCAGTGTGCACAGCCACAAAAACCACAAATGAGCAAGGTGGACAGTGAGGTCATCCTCTAACCTCCATGAGTGCCCGCACTCACACCCAAGATTGCACACAAACACACAGACGTACATTAGACACACAAAAATAAATAACAAGCACAAAAAATAATCTTTTTTTTTCTTTTTTGCAGGAGGAGTGTGGAATGAGAGTCAGTGTTTAACAGGCACAGAGTTTTCATTTGGTTCTGGAGACGGTGGTGCTGATGACTGCCAGGCATTTGGAATATGCTGAATGCCACCGATTCACACAATTAAAAAGGTTAAAATGGTGAATGTTATGTGTGTTTTCCTATAACAGAGTATTGTATATTTTTCTGTTGTGTTTTCTTCTTGTGTAATCGAATTTGTATCTTTTTTCCCTTCCAGATTAACTTGAGAATCAGCTTGTCCCATTCTATTAAAAGTCCCTTTGGCCGGGCGGTGGTGGCGCACGCCTTTAATCCCAGCACTCGGGAGGCAGAGCCAGGCGGATCTCTATGAGTTCGAGGCCAGCCTGGGCTACCAAGTGAGTTCCAGGAAAGGCGCAAAGCTACACAGAGAAACCCTGTCTCGAAAAACCAAAAAAAAAAAAAAAAAAAGTCCCTTTGATATTTTTACTGCAATTACATCAAGTTTATAGATTGCTCTGGGGAGAGCTGACATTTTTATGGCCCTGAACCTTCCCCTAGGTGGAGCGTCTCCCGTTGACTGGGATCTCTCTTTATGCCCTTCAGTAAAGTTGTGTAATTTTATTCAGCATGTTCTTAGCTGTGTGACAGTTTTAGTTGCCTCTGTGATTGGAATATTGGGTCCAGCACAGGGCTCTGGCTGCAGTGACTCCAGCCCGGCCTGGGGATGCATGGCTGATTCTGCCAGCACCTGAGACAGGAAGCACACACTGCTGGAGTCATTTCACCCACCCGGGCCTGCAGGAAGGCAGCCAGTGGCTTCATGACTGAAGGGGCAGAAGGGTGGGGCTCAGCTGAAGGATCTGGCAAGGTCCGGAGGAGGGGGCCTTCTGGAAGGCTCTTCTAGGTCAGAGGAGCCTGAATGTGTCATCACAGGGGTCAGGACGAGGACAGGCCTGAGGTGCCAGAGATGGGAGCTGTTGCTTGCCGCTGACGAGGACGTGGACGAGATGCTTCTCAAGCCGTGGAGCCGTCGTGGCCTCGGAGCCAGGAGATCCTGTCACACACGAAGTTCCTTGGTTTCTCAGAAAAGGGTGAATTCTAAGGGTGGGTTTCACTGTCTCCTCCGGGCTGTCAGTGCACGTGACAGGGACTGTGTGAGTTGGGTCATTCCTGTGCAGGGTTCCTGCTGGTCCCCAGGGGACAGAGGTGGCTCTGAGTCCACAGCTTGGCAAACGACAGGGCTGGTCCTGTGCCCCTGCTCACTCTTGGGCCAGGTCCCTACCCAGTAGCCAGTGTGTGTGCCCCATGCTGATCACAGGGTGGTGTGTGGGCAGCGCAGGAGAGGTGGCTAAGATGTGGGGCTTTGGAGACACGACCGAGGTCTCCCCCCCCTCCCCGCCCCCCACCAAAGGTCCTAACTTAGGCTTCAAAGGAAACCCCTGCTTCCTGGTGGAACCCCATGGAATCTTCACTTTCATTTGTCTATCATTCTGTTTTCTTTTTATAAGGGGTCTCCTGTAGCCCAGGCTGGTCTCGGACTCATTGTTAGGTCTCAAACCTGGGACAAATGGCTGAAGGGCCGATTTAACACATCAAAGCGGACAGTGTCTGGCCAGGTTCTCCTTGAGTGCCTCAGTCCCTGCCTGTTACAGGGTCCTCCTGGTCTGCAGACCCCCTCCCCTCCCCTAAACTTCGGCAGCCCAGGGCTTGGGCTGCCCTTCCCCCAGCTGCCCTGCTCCATATAATCCAGCCATTTTGGTTACCCCTCTCCATTCCCCTCCCCCTCTCCCCACATGGCCCAGCTCAGTCTGGTCAGGTCCGCTCTGGACTCTCCCAGAAATCTCTGCCTCTGGCTATGCTCTCCCTTTTATCTACAATAAACTTTTCCCTCCACCTTACCCAGGAGCAGTGTGTTCTTTCCTTTCTTTCTTTCTTTCTTTTTTTCATTCACTCACTACATAGCCAAGGGAAGGTTGAGTTTCTGAACCTTCCAGTTTATGTGGTGTTGGAGATCAAGCCTGGGACTCCATGCATGTTAGACCCAAAGTCTACAGAATGAGCTACAGCCCAACCCCACTTCATGTATTTTTTTAAATTTATTTTTATTCTATGTGCATTGGCGTTTTGCCTGCATGTCTGCGTGAGGGTGTCAGAAGCCCTGGAACTGGAGTTACAGACAACTGTGAGCTGCCATGTGAGCGCTGGGAATCGAACCTGGGTCCCTTGGAAGAGCAGACAGTGCTCTCAAGCGCTGAGCCATCTCTCCAAGCCCCCTATTCCATGTATTTCTGCAGAGGCCAGGGATGGCAATAGACCTCTGCAGGAACAGGGAAGTCGATCTGGCAGGCTCGATCGGTGCTCCGACTTACATTAGTCATGGAAACATCCACGGAGTGTACTTTTTAGGTGAGGTGGGAGTCCAGCTTGGTTAACAAAGCTTTGAACAGTCCAGGGATACCGTCATAAAGAGCACCCAGGGAGGGGGGCTGTATGAGAAGTAGAAGAAGGCCAGGCAGTGGTGGCGCACACCTTTAATCCCAGCCCTGGGGAGGCAGAGGCAGGCGGATCTCTATGAGTGTGAGGCCAGCCTGGTCTACAGAGTGAGTTCCAGGACAGCCAGGACTATTTAGAGAGACACTGACTCAAATAAATAAATAGCAAATAAAAGAGAAGTAGAAAGAAAGTCACAGCTGAAGGACAAGGAGGCGCCGGGCCCTGAAGAGCAGAGAAGAGCGTTCTAGGGTAAGACCTGAGGCTGGATGGTGGCTTCTTGGTGCCTTTGGAGAGCTGAACATTGGCCAGAGTGACTGGTCTTCCACAGAACTATCAGCAAATAGACGTCCCTTGGGATTCCCCAATGCTCTTACCATCTATGAACACGGTGAGTTTGAAGAACTGATATTTACCCACTGTGTCCCTGTTTCCCCTTCCCAGTGTGTACATTCTCTCTGTGTAGGTTGTTGGGGAATATTGTTTTAAGGTGTGTTACTTTTGTTCCTGTTGCATTTGTTTGACTCTGTGAAGCTGTGTTACTGTGCCTGTCTAAAACACCTGATGGTCTAATAAGGAACTGAACGGCCAATGGTGAGTCAGGAGAAAGGATAGGCGGGGCTGGCAGGCAGAGAGGATAAATGGAAGGAGAATTCTGGGAGGAAGAAAAGAGAAGTATCTAGAGAAGGAGGAGGACTCCAGGGGCCAGCCACCCAACTCCTCAGCAAGCCACAGAGTAAGAGTAAGATTTACAGAAATAAGAGAACAGAAGAGCCCAGAGGCAAAAGGTAGACTGGATAAGTTAAGGAAAGCTGGCAAGAAACAAGCCAAGCTAAGGCCGGGCATTCATAAGTAATAATAAGCCTCCATGTGTGATTTATGTGGGAGCTGAGTGGCGGGCCCCCCAAAAGAGCAAAGACAAACAACAGTAGGTGGCTGACAGACTCATCCCACAGGTCAGGTGGCAATCCCAGATCCACCCTGCGCCGCCTGAGGATCCTGTCAACAACCCCCACTGTCTCCTTCTGCATCTGTAACAGGAAGTAAGAATGGCAATGCCGATGAGTTACCAGAAGATTCTGCCATTAGTAAGTGCAAGGACAAGGGCAGGAGAGCTTGCCCAGTCGGTTTCCTGAAGACCAAGTTCTGTCCTCAGCACCCACCTAAAAAACCGGGCCTGGTGGTTCGCACGCGTAATCCCAGCACTGGCCAGGCGGGAACAGGACGAGCCTTAGGACCAGTAGCCAAGCCTGATCAGTGAGCTCCAGTTCCAGTGAGAGGTCCTAACTCAAAAAACAAGCTGGGTGGCTTCTGAAGACCAACACCGGAGATTGACCTCTGGCCTCGATGTATGCAAGCATTTATGCACGCGCGCGCGCGCGCGCACACACACACACACACACACACACACACACACACACACACACACACACAGATAAACACATTTCCTATAGACAAAGGAAGCACCTGCCCAATGCCTCCTTCCTTCCCTCTGTCAGACGATCTCTTCTCGGACGGGCTACCCTTCCTTCCTCTCACCTTCTCCTCCCTCACAAGCCAGCTCACCTCTCACCTTGGTAACATTTAGAGAAGAATTCGTCTACAGCCTTGGATGTGGGGCCCAGCACGTCCTCACATCTTCAGGCATCCACCGCAGAGATCCAGGGATGAACCTTGGACTAAAACTCCTGCACACCTTTAAACATTTTGCCTTTTGCCTCTATACTCAACAGTCTGGCTGAAAATTAAGCTTTACTCGTGCGAGCGCGTGTGTGTGTGCGCGCGCGCACACACACACACACACACACACACACACACACACACGCGCGCGCGCGCACACACATGCACACACACACACACACGCGCACACACACGCGCACACACACACGCACACACACACGCACACACACACGCACACACACACATGCACACATGCACACACACGACTTTGTAGGTTTTACTCTATTGTTTTCTTTTCTTTTCTTTTTTTTTCTTTTTCTTTTTTTGTTTTTTGAGACAGGGTTTTTCTGTGTAGCCCTGGCTGTCCAGAAACTTGCTCTGTAGACCAGGCTGGCCTTGAACTCACAGACATCTCCTGCCTCTGCCTCTGAGTGCTGGGATTAAAGGTGAGCGCCACCACCGCCCAGCCTCTATTTCTAACACCGGATGCTGCCTGGAAGGAATCTGAGGTCAGCCTGTGGTTTCCCACTTGCCTGTCACTTGTCATTTTTGTTTAAGCGGCCAAAGGATTATTTCTTAGCTTTATAACCTCATAACTTTTTATTACAACCAATTTTCCTGAGTCTCATTAACTTTTCAGTACACCTCCCTTTTCTCTAAAACATTTTCTTTATGTCTTAGGGTATTTATTTTATGTCATCTTGGTTGACTTCTTCAAAGACTTCTTATGCATGCATGATCCATGTTAGGTCTTCGTCACTGTAACGAAACACCCAAGGCAGGCTACTTTATAGAGAAAGGAGGTTTATTTATTTCACAGTTCTGGAGAGCATGACACAGACCCTGGTGAGGGTCCCCCTGGAGAATGTCACATCATGAGAGAAACACTGATATAGCTCTGCTTTTGTGTCACCCCTCCCCCTGTCCTTGTGAAGCCCCCTGGATCCAGTCAGCAGGAGGAGGAAGCTGCAGTTGCTAGTCCTGGCTCACAAGCGTCAGTCATTTACAGACAGTTACCCTCTGAGACCCGTCCTCCAGAACGCCATCCACAAGGCCCACCGCACCCCACACTGTTACCCCGGAGGCCAGCCTCCAGCAGGTGTGCGGCTACTCACAGCTCCCCCAACCACAGCCATCATTTTCGCTCTTGTCAATTAAACTTCTAACTGTTCGACTTCCTTTCCCATCCCCTGGGGGCCGGGATGGAACTCAGAGCCTCACTCACTTTGCAAGCCCTGTACCCCTGCACTCCGTCCAGCCGCTTCCTCCTGGCTTTCCTGTTTTTCTCCTTTGGGCTTGTGTTTTGGCAGTTTTATTCTGTGCTACTTTTACCCTGACTTCCTTCTGCAGTGTCTGTCAGCTTCCTTCCGCACTTTCCCGAGACCCTTTCTTATCTTGTTATTATCTCGGTGAGCTAGCTCTCCCATGCAGCGCTTCAGTCTAGGCTTTGGTTTTGTTTCTGCGCTGGCGTCCTGTGTTTATTTGGTTGGTTGGTTCCTCTCTCCATCTCCTTGCTTGACTTTGCCCTCCTTGGCTCTTGTATCGTGTTCAGATCTGGAGGTGGTTCGCTGTTGGTTGCTAATATTTGTGGGATGTGAACTTTCTCTAGGCAAGCATTGGCAAGAGGTCGTGGTGGGGAGGGACCAGGGCTATTTTGGGATAGGAGAATTTTCCTTTTCCGTGTGAATTCTCTGAGCCTTGGCTTCCCCACAGGTAATGACTGCTTGCAGTTGAGAACCCTGCTCCTCCCTCCGCCTCAGTTGCCTGAGTGTGATTTTTTTTATTTTTATTTTTATTTTTTATTTTTTTTTTTTTTTGGTTTTTCGAGACAGGGTTTCTCTGTGTAACCCTGGCTGTCCTGGAACTCACTCTGTAGCCGTGCAGGGTCCATGGAAGCCGGAAGAAGGCATTGGATCCTCTGGAGTTAAAGGTGATTTTGAGGCACTCAACATGGTTTCTGGAAACCAAACTTGGTCCCCTTGTGAGATTGATGTGAGTTCTTCACCCTTGAATCGTTTCTCTAGCCCCTGGACAAGTTTCTTTAAATGCATGTGAGTATGCGCGCGCGTGTGCGTGCATGTGTGTGTGTGTACGTGCAGGTGTGTATGAAGGATAACCTTAGGCGTCTTGCAGGAATGCTGTGCATCTTATTTTTTGAGATGGAGTCGCTTACTGGTCTGGAGCTCACCAATGAGGCTAGACCGACTGGCCAGTGAGCCTGGAGAATTCTCCTGTCTCCACCCCCCAACTACTGCAGTTATAGCAAGTGTCACAATGCCTTGTGCTTTGCTGACAGGCTGTCCCCCCAAACCCAATCATGCACACACAGCAGGGTGCCTGCGGATGCCAAAGGACAACTTGGTGGAGTCAGTTTTCCCCTTCCATGTGCCCAAGGATTCCAGGCATCAACACTGGGTTGTTGGGTTTGCCCATTGAACTCTTCTTCTCCTTCTCCTTCTCCTTCTCCTTCTCCTTCTCCTTCTCCTTCTCCTTCTCCTCCTCCTCCTCCTCCTTCCCCCTTCCCCTTCCTCTCCTCCTCCTTCTCCTTCTTCTTTTTCGAGACAAGGTTTCTCTGTGTAGTCCTGGCTGTCCTGGAACTCTGTAGCTCAGGCTGGCCCCCAACTCACACAGGTCCGCCCGCCTCTGCCTCCCAGGTGCT